CAAGTAAATGAAGGCTTGTATGCAAGTTTCGGGGCAATCAGAGATCAAACGAGCTCAAGCGGAGTTTAGGAGTGGGTGCTGAAAAATGTGCACTGCCGCGCAAATATATGCACGGCTGTGCAACGTTTCCAGAGAGTTTGCACGGTCAAACTTCAATTTTCACGGCCATGGATGGTCCCTCGTCGCATTCAAGTGAATTGGTGCATTTTGGTGTGCACGAATTGGAAGGTTGGTTTGCACAGCCGTGCACTGCCTGTGCAACCGTACAACTACTAATTATAACCCAATTTTGGGAGCTTGAGAGGGATTCGAGTTTTAGGAGCAAAAATAGAGTTTTAGAAAGAAAGTGATAAAGAACAAGATCTAGAAGCTATCTTGAGCTTATTTCTAACTATTGAAGCTCGAATTTTGTCCCAAGGAGTGAAGATAGACATACCAAAGCAGATTATAAATATCTCCATGAGTATGGTTGCTTTGTATTTGGTTTTTATTTCTCTCTCTCTCTCTCTCTCTCTCTCTCTCTCTCTGGAGTAAACCTCCTTCTCATTTGGGTATGAATAACCCTAGTTTCATGTGTTAGGGATCTCGTAATGACCTTTGGATGCTATACTGTTTGGTTTTAATAAATTGAGGCATGAATTGTTCAGTCAATTGGATCTTGATCACATATTTTTTATTTCTGCTTCAACCCATGATAGATAGAATCTGATTGGGTTAAGAGAGCTTCTTATATTGATAAGTGAATTGATTGTATGAGAGTAAGTCAATTCACTACTTTGTACTGAAATTAATTCCAAGTAGTGGAGATTTTTGTGAATTTCCTTAGCATTCTATTCTAGTGAAGGTTAGTCGCATGTCGGGTATTTTGTCTAAGAGGGCTTGGTTGGATTAAGAGATTCCAGGTTATTATCGAATCTTCCGCAGTTTAATCCACAGTAAAACGACCAAAAGAAATTACAACTTGGAACTAACTGAGGAGCTAGGTCTCACCCCCTAAGCCACGACCACTCTAGCAATCTGAGTATCACACGTTTGCATCCTACCAGATGGCCAGGTCTTGTTAGCATACACTGATGGTCCCCTCCGTGTGCATGGCCACTATCTAAAGCTGTACCTCAAGAGTGATGTGGATCTGCTCTTGGAGACACCTATTTATTTTCCTTTTTCTTTTCATTTTTGGTATTTGAGTCATTGTGTTTGTCTTAAGTCTATCTTGAACATATTCTATAGCCGTGGGTGACATGTTTTTGTCTGTGGTTGTGTGTTTTTTCAAGCCGGGGCACGGATGGGGGTTGAATGTTTGAAAATGTGGTGTTGAGGGTAAGCAGAATAGGCTGCGGCATAAAAAACACAAACGTGTTTCCAATAGTGGTTGCTCGTGTTTGCTCTTCTATATGTCTTGCGCGCAACATAAAAAGCACGGGTGTTGGGCGAAGAAACATTATCGTGTTTCTAAGCGCCTGTGTTTCCATGTCCATATAAAACCCGGTTGTGGCTGTGTTTCTCTCTCCCCCTAATTTGTGACCGCGTTCCCCTTTTATATCTGCCGACAATCGCCAAAATCCTCTCAAATCTGGCGTTATTTTGGCCAAGTCTCCCTCTCCCGACCTCCAAATAAAAAACTGCGACCACCTTCGAGTTCCTGGCGCCCGTTCCCCAAAGATTTGGTCTTGTTTGTAGGCTAATGAGGTCACCTGCGGTGAAACTCCAGCGAGTGCTCCGGGTTGTTTTCTTGTGATTTTTGTTGGTGCTTTGTCTATTCCTCATATTCCTTGTGGTATCCACTTAGTCTCTAGGTGTGCTTCTTTTCTATACTGGTTAATTTTGGAGAATTGATACCTAGATTTCTAGGTGAGGAATTTGGGATTTGTGTTTATATTGAATGGATTCAGTAGGTCTATGGATTTTGCATGTTGGGGTTCTGTGCTTCAATTGAATTGATTAAGTCTGCCTAATGATTGCACGCTTAGGGTCCCATGGGTGTTATGCTTGAATTGTGGATAATTGATATGAATGTTTGAATGTGTTTGTCCACTTGGAGCCTAGTCCACTGTCTAAATTTTTCGATTTGAGGGCTTCAAGTGAGGCCTCACCTGCTTCTAATCGTTGACCTTGCTTCCATGAATGGCACATTTGCGTTATTTTTGGTTGCTGGACAATGCATGACTACCTTGCCCTGATCACTCACGATCAGAAGAAGAACCTGCGTGAGTTTAAGAAAAGGCGCTTCTTTGAGAATCACCACCTCGACTTCGAGGTCTTTGAGAAGCTGCATGCTCCAGAGGAGATGGAGGTTGTCATTCGCAACTTGACATGGTTGCGTCTCCTCTGCCTCTCTAAGTCGTTGTACCAGAAGCTGGTCTGGGAGTTTTACTCCACCTTCAAGCATTATCTGGCTCGATAAGGCATACACTCCAACGTCATCTACTTCACTCTCGGAGGTGCAGATCACTCCCTCAACTATGATTATTTCACCCGGGCACTTGAGTAGCCAGATCCAGTTGGATTCTTCGAGCGAGTTTACCTCCCGGAGAAGCTCGGCATCGTGTTTCGTCCTGGGCAGACGAGGGCCTCCACACTATAACTTGAGTGGCGCATCCTTAACCAATTGCTCGGCAAGTCCAACTAGCCCAATATCACTCCACGAGCTAGCATGGCCTCCAAACGCTATTTTGCATGCACTTTATGGGACAGGATGAGGATAACCTTCATTTGGCCTCTATCATTGCTATGACGATCGCCAAGTATACTACTAACAACCGTCCTCTCGTCTGTGGCTCAATGATCATTGCATTGGCCAAGTACTACAACATCGAACTCAATGACTGCATCCAGGTCTTGGTTCCTCTCCCCATACAACCATAATATTCTCTGACACTAGCTCCTGCTCACCTCCGATAGGCCTCTAACATGGATCAAGGGGATCCCTCGCCCTTGCTTCTGAGCTAGCAGCTTCCCCAGATACAGCTGACCCACCAAAGGCGAGTGACACCCGAGCTCGCCGAGCTTCCCGATGTTCACCCTATCGTGCTCGGGAGCATGGCAGCACCTCTGTTGCGCCCCACATAGAGTACGACGAAAGTTCTACAGGTCTCGGTGTTGGACCAAAGGCCCACTTTGCTTATTAACTTACAACCTTGGGCACCAGAACGAGCATATCATGACTGCCCAGACCCAGATCTTAGACGAGCAGGCTCCGCTCAATGACCTTCTCTAACGGGAGAGAGATGGTCGTAGCCGCATCATATCCGCCCAGCACTACATGAACAGCTACCACGACGAGGAGCTTGCTCGTGTTGTTTACCCTAGGTACCTTCCCCGAGGTATGAGGAGTACTACCCACTACCTGACCAGCAGTATTAGCCATGTGGAGATGACTATCATCCCGGCGGAGATGACTACCAGCCCGATGGGGGTTACTTCCCCACCACGGACTGACCCCATCGCGGGATGCTGCTTTGTGTGTTTTGTTGTCCTTTCAGACTTTGTTGTCGATTTCTTTTTATTTTCTTTTGGATTGGGCACGCGTAACTATGGTTTGGTTTGTCTATCACCTAGTATGTTGTTTTGTTGTTTTAGCTATAATCCTTCTGACTGGTCCAATTCTAGGCCCGTGTTGCTAACTGGTCCGCCCTCCAGTCCCCGCATCTAGTCCTCATTCCCCAATAACATTGTTCCCCTTATATCTTTGTGCTCCATTAAGGGCAATGTCGATCTTAAGTGTGGGGTGTTTATCCTTTGATTATTGAATATTATGATTGTGCTTGGAGCCTAGTCCACTGTCCAAATTTTACAATTTGAGGGCTCCAAGTAAAAATATTTGCATGATTATATGGGCATTGTGTCTTTGTGTGGTGAATTGAGTAGATGTTAACATTAAAGCATGTATGACGCGTTTTGTGATTGAGACAACCTATAATGATGAGTGAGAGTTAGGGGTTCAGTCTTCAACTGTTTGCTTACCAACTGTGACTTGGATTGATCACTCATTTCTTTCATCTGTTTATGAAAAGAGGTTAAGGAATCATAATGAGAGATAGAGCACATAGGTAGCCATGTGAGGTTGGAGCCTGCTCGTTTCTTTCTTATGCGATAGATCCCTCTTACCATGATGTGTAGCATTCAGAAATTAGGAAGATGGAGGCATAGGATTAACTCACAGCCAAATTGACTGTTCTGGTGTGTCATACCTCTTAGTTGGCCCCTTTGAGTCGTGTTTTGGTGGGATCACGCCCGTTCTTCATCGACGAGTAGGCCATGCTTTTTATTACAATGGGAAGCGTAGGATACGCTGAAGGATTTTAAAAAAAGGGCGTAAGGAAGCTGCAAAACATGGTGTGTTTCACCGGAACGCAATCGTGTTACCTCCAGACGCGATTCGTGTTTTTCCCTTCCCAGATTTCAGTGTCGCGGGTGACATGGTCAAAACACGGTCAGAGGAGGAACACAACCGTGTTTCACCAAGTTTTGGGGTAAATTGGAAGTTTCGAGCCAAAGGGGAATCAAATTTTGAGATAAAAACAGAGTTCTAGAGAGAGAAAGTGATGAAGTACAAGACTTAAGAGCTATTTGGAGCTGGTTTCTCACCATTGAAGCCTAGAATTTTTCCCAAGGAGTGAAGATTGACATTCTATAGCAGATTATACACATCTCCATGAGTATGACTAGTTTTTTATTTGGTTTTCCTCTCTCTCTCTCTTTCTCTCTCTTTCTCTCTATGGAGTAGACCTCCTTCTCACTTGGGTATGAAGAACTCCAGTTCCATGTGTCAGAGATCTTGTTTGGAATGACCTTTGGATGCTTTATTGGTTGGTTTTAATCAATTGAGGCATGATTTGTTGAGTCAATTGGATTTTGATCACATTCGATAGATAGAGTCTGATTAGGTTAAGAGAGCTTCTTCAGTTGCTAGTAGTGAATCGATTGTACAAGAGTCATTCAATTCACTGCTTTGTACTACAATTCATTCAAGTAGTGGAGATCTTTGTGTATTGCCTTAGTATTGCCTTAGTATTTTATTCTAGTGAAGGTTAGTCGCCCGTAGCGTATTTTGACTAAGAGAGCTTGGTCGGCTTAAGAGATTTCAAGCTATTATCGAATATTCCGTAGGTTAATCAGCAGTAAAATTACCAAAGGAAATTACAACATGGACCGAATTGAGGAGCTAGGGGGCGCATACCTGAGTGACTCTTCTTGCTTTCAAAAGCCGAACAATTTATTTGATTTCCTTTTTACTTTGCTTTTTGCATCTCCACCACAATTTAACTGCTCAATAATAGACATTCAGGAAGTAGACATTATACCTAGGACCTGGGTCGATAATTTGAACCGAACCCACTTTAGTGCAGTCTTCCATAGTGGTTATACTTGGCCATTATGGAAGTGTTGTGTTTTGTTAGTCTGCAGACTCTCAAGAGCATAGGAGGATTCAAGGCTCCAAGGAAGGAATAATTTCCCTTGGTGTTCTTCCAAAAGTGTTGGAGTAATGTAGCTTCTTCCCCAGTTCAATTTGTGTGAGACTACTTGGAGGACCCAAGTTGAATCTCTCTAGTGAACGCTACCCTCCTCTGTTTGATTCCAAAAAGGAGATTCAGGAACCCATCACGCAATTCTGGCCAATTGCCTTGTGCAATGTGGTTTATAAGACATTTTCCAAAGTCCTTGTGAACTGCATAACGACGCTTATGAGGATCTTAATCCACTCAACCCAAACGAGCTTCATTCCTGGTCGTCACATAATAGATAATATCATTATTCTACAAGATGTTATCCACTTTATGGGGCTAGATGGCATTAAAGATCGACTTAGCAAAGGCCTGCGACCGACTAAGCTAGGATTTTCTCAGGGAGACGCTGGAGGAAGTTGGACTCCCAATAAATCTTGTAGATGGTTATAATGTTGTGTATGACATCCACATCTATGCATGTATTATGGAATGGGGTCTTGACTAAGGAATTCACTCCATCTCGATGCCTGTGCCAAGGATGCCCGCTTTCACCATACATGTTTACCCTGTGCATGGAACAATTCAGTCATACTATTGAGAGTGCGGTTGAGGAGAGGAAGTGGAAGCCTATCCGAACATCCCCAGGTAGACCTCCTCTCTCCCGCTTATTTTTTTATGACGATCTCATTCTCTTTGCAGAAGCAACTGAGGCACAAGAAATTGTGGTTGCAAAGTGCTTGGACCAATTTTGCCTCGCATCTGGACAATAGGTAAGTCCTAAACCAAACGACCATAGGACATAAAGGAACGAGCCTAGACAACAAACAACAAGCATAGGAGTGTGCTCGAGTGTGAGCGACTAAGGACAAATCAACTATATTCTTCTCCAGCAACACCCCTAGACAGCTTTGCGCTTCAATTGCTCGTGATCTGGAGATGCCTATGACGCATGATCTTGTTCGGTACCTAGGAGTCCATGTCCTGCATGACATGGTAACTAAGGTAACTAACCAAGTTATTCTTGATCGTCTGAAAAATATACTTTAAGGATGGAAATTGCAAACCCTCAGTTTTGGTGGTCGAGCTACCTTTGCTATCTCAGTGTTGAATTCTCTACCAACCTACATGATGCAAACCACTATGCTCCCAAAATCCATGTGTGACTCTATCTATCGCAAAATCCAAAGTTTCATATGGGGAGCCTCGGAAGGAGTGCAGAAGGTTCACCTGGTGCATTGGGAGGCAATTTGTCGACCAAAGAAGGATGGTGGATTGGGTCTCTTCAGTGCCCATGAACTCAGCCTCGCATTCCTTGCTAAGGTAGCATGGTCTTTTGTTAAAAAACTCGATTAGTTGTGGGTTCATGCAGCAGGTGGCTTGATTAGAGATCATATGAGATGCTGCCACGCAACATTTGCCAGTGACTTGGGGATCTGTTCTATCACCCGAGCAGAACAGGGAGGCGCTGCAGAAAGTCCTCAGATGGTATGAGAGAGCGGCTACTGATGAGTTCGTGTGGAGCTCGATTCTCAGTGTGCGAGCCAGCTCTTTTAAAGCTCGGCACATATGGATAATCACCATGTTGCTATCATTGACCTCTTTCAAGATTTACTTGCGGAAGTTTCTTGCTACCACATTTATAGAGAAGGGAATAAGTGTGTTGATTTCTTAACTAGACGTGGTCACTCCCTTCCTTTGGGGTTTCACCTTGTTCCAGTGTCGGATCGCGTTTTAGACTATTTTATCTAGTATGAATGTCAAGGCCTTTCTGTGTCTCGTCTTGTTGTGAATGAAAGTTGAGATGCAGCGCATCCATTTATAAAATAAAAAATATTAGATTAAGAATTCTAAATCACTTCTATAGATCCAGTACTACAATTCAATATGTAGTATTCGAACCAATGATGTTTGAGTTGTGATTTTAAAATTATCCTCCATTTATAAGATATACATAAATTAAATTAAATATTAAACTCAAATTAAAATAATCCAAATATAAAAATCAAAATATCAAATACCAAAAAATAGTAATGGGAGAGTTAGCGGGCTAGCTAATCGTATAGAAAAGTCTTATGATTCTCAAATTATATATATTTTTTATATTTTAATTTATATATATTCAACAAATTTATTTAGCGTAATTGATAATGATTCTTGTCGTTTCTCTACAGCGACCATGCTTCCAATTCTTAGGCTGGTGTATTTTTTTTCTATGAATAAGAAATAAATAGGTAACTGTGAAGACTAACCTTCCTACTTTCGAACTTGTTGCATAAAATTTAAAATGATGAAAAATTGCGTTCAACTCTACTGTTGGTTTTAGAAATGATAAACAGGCTAAAAGTAAATAAAAAATAGTTTGAAGACCAAAATAGTAAACACAGCACAGGTGGGTAGGGGTGTTCAAACGGATTAGTTACCGTGGTAACCATATTAACCGGTAGCATTCAGTTAATTTGGTTTGGTTAATTTGGATAATTGGTTTGGTTTGGTCAAACAATTTAGCTTATTTGGTTTAAGTGGTTTGGTTTAGTTTCAACACTGCTAACCAATGAAACCAATTAACCAATAATGATACACCTTATATACAAAATTATTTATACTTCCATGCAACCAACCAAACCAAACTTTCGTGATTCCCTATTTTATTTCCATGTGCACAACAAACCAAAGCATTATGGGTCAAAAATTAAATGGGTCTGCCTATTTACTAAACCAAAACATTGTGGACAATTACTAGACTTTAGGATTACGTACAAATTAATGATAGTTTATGATAGTAATAACATATGGTTATGTTTTATTCATTAACAAGATAATTGTTTTCATGTAATGTTATGTTATTTGGTTAATTCGATTCCGATTAACCAAATCAATTAAACTTTGGTTTTCGTGTTAATTTGGATGGTTTGGTTAAGGCATTTTATTTCATAGTTAATAAAATTTAGGCTTAACTAGTTTGTTTATTACCACGGTAACCATTTGAAAACCCCTACAGGTGGGTTAAATTGTAATATAGCCCAAAAATACATCAGGTGCGTGCGACCAACGTGCCAGACTTCGCGTCAAGTCGGGTCGAGCTTATACTGGAAACTCGCGGGTAAAATACCTTGAGTACCACTGAAGTTTGAGAGTTGGGGCAAACATATCATTTAAATTTGAATAGGGCGTCGGGTACCACTGAACTCTATTATTTGTGCACCCGGTACCACTTTTTTTTCTGAGTGATATCAATAAGAAGAAATAGTTAAGCTTACAATTCTACCCAGGACCCCAAAAAGACTCTACTGAAGCTACCCCCAAGAAATCAAAAGATTCTAGCTCTACAGGAGACAAAAGCAGTGCTTTACGCGCCACTCTATGGGCGCACTGTTGGCGGATCTAAGTACTGCCCTAAACTCTATACAAGCAGAAAAAGAGCTAAGAATCTGGAGACACTCTCGAAGCACCGAACCACCCACCGAGTCTTCTAAGATGCCTTGACGGACTTGGTTGACAACCACTTCAGAGTCGCCTTCGACTATCACGTGAGATAAGGATCTTGAGGCTACAAAGGAGATAGCATCCCTAAAAGCAAGAAGCTCAGCCAGATAAGGGTTGACTATTCCTTGATGCTGTAATCCGATCGCCAACCTCACATGCCCGTCTGAGCCCTGGAAAACAAGCCCAGACGAGCATCCGGAGGCACTAACCGCTGCGTCGACATTGACCTTCAAAAAGCCTTCCGGTGGAGGAACCCAAGAAGAGGCGGACAAGGATGGGAGGATGGAGCTGCGGGGTGGAGGGGGAGGAAGGAGACTGGAAAATTCGAGGACCTGGTTGTAGAACTGTCTGGCTGAAGAATGGATATGAGGTTGGGTAAATTCAAAGGTCACCACATTTCTAGACTTCCGGATTCTCCAAAGTAAACAGACGCATTGGAGAATGTGGAATGGGGAGGTCTCAGAGACCATGACATGTCGCCACCATAGACTAAAATTAATAATCTGGGCGGTCTCAATAAAGTTGCTCAATCCCACTAAAGACCACAATCTGATGGCTAGGGGGCATCTGAAAAATAAATGTTCGATACTTTCTCGATGTCTCTAGCAGACAGGGCATCAGTTAGAACAATTAACTCCACGAGATTGAAGGGCTACTACTGTGGGGAGTATGACTTTGAGGCATTGCCATATGAAGAATTTGAGTTTAGGCTAAACTTGGATGTTCCAAGTCTTTTTCCAAATAGGGGGGTCAATGATTTGCACTATCGGTTTTCGACTTGGAGCTAATATTCTTTCCAAAGCTAAGTGATAACCCGATTTGACTGTATATTTACCATCCTTGGAATAGTGCCACACTCTAATGTCTTGCTGCGAGAGACGAGGGAGAGGAATTCTCCTTATGAGATCAACAGAGTGAGGTTCAAAGCAATTTTGAAGTTTTGGAACGTCCCATTCCCCTCGACCTTCTTTTATAAAGTAAGATACCATAGGAGATCCATTTTGAATGTGGGGTCGTGTAATCGGGATTAGGGGTTTATCCCCCGGAACCCAGCTATCAATGAACGCCCGAGTTCTTTGTCCATTGCCTATTTGCCACCTTAATCCCTGGAGGAGCAGATCTCTTCCAAAGAGTAGACTTCTCCAACCCCACGAAGGGTTTGATCCGATTGATGCTTCCAACACCGAACATTGGGTAAAGTATCGACCCTTATAAATCTGGGAAAGGAGTGAAGTTGGATTGGTCCATATTCGCCAACATTGTTTGGCTAGCAATGCTTGATTGAAGGCTTCAAAGTCCCTAAATCCAAGACCTCCATGGAACTTGCTGTGAGCAAAGCTTTTCCAGGATAACCAGTGGATTGGGTGATCTAAATTTTGAGCCGTACCCCACCAAAACTTTGCGACATGGCTGTTTAATCGTCTATAGTTTTCCTTGGGGAGCTTGAAACATGACATTCCTAAAACTAGTATAATAGTGGCCGATGTTCTAATAAGAGTGTCTTTCCCCGCTTTTGAAAGGGAACGTTGTTTCCACCCTTGCAACTTCTTAATGAGTTTCTCCTCCATGAACTGGAATGTATCCCTCTTTGATTTAGATAAGATGGCTGGTAGACCTAGGTAAGAGTCGTGTTCTCCTATGGTTCCAACACCCAATTGAGAACCCATAATTTGAGCATGAGAAGGGTCTGTGTTGTGGCTGAAAAGGACAGCTGATTTATTTAAGTTTATTCGTTGGCCGCTCAACTCCTCATAAGCCCGTAGTAGGGAAAGGAGAGACATACAGTACTCCTGTGAGGCTGACAAGAATAGGTATGAGTCGTCTGCGAAAAAAAGATGGGAAATTACCGGGCAGCTAGGCTGGATTCTGACTCCTTCAAGGTATCCTACTGAGGTAGCTTTCCTAATCATGCTAGAAAATCCCTCGGCACAGATAGCAAAAAGGAGAGACGATAGGGGATCTCCTTGTCTTAGTCCTCTTGAGGGTCTAATGTACTCTGATGGGGAGCCGTTAATAAGAATCGAATATGACACTGTAGTTACGCACTCTTTTACCCAAGATATGAATCTAGGATGTATACCAAGAATCCTCATCATTTCGAACAAGAACGGCCACTCTATTCGATCGTAAGCTTTCTCCATATCTAGTTTCACTGCCATCCACCTTTTTTCTTGGATTTTGAAGTTTTGAGATGATGAACCATTTCATGGCTGATTAGGATATTATCTGAGATTTGGCGCTCTTTGATGAACCCGTTCTGTGTTGGGGATATGATCTTGGGAAGCACTCTGCTCAACCTATCTGCTAAGATTTTAGCTATGACTTTGTAGATCACTTGGCAAAGACTTATACGTCTTAGGTTTTTCATGGTTCTTACGTTGTTAACCTTGGGGATCAAAAATATCCAAGTACGGTTGAAGGATCTTAGTAAATGCCCAGAGTGGAAGAAAGCCAGTACTGCTTGAATCACATCTTGATTGATTAGCTCCCAATAGTTTTGGTAAAAACCTGCCGTAAATCGATCAGGGCCTTGGGCTTGAGTTTTGCCTATGCTGAACACCGCTTTCTTAATTTCTTCTTGGGAAATTGGAGCAATCAGACTTTCATTCTGGATATCGTCCACTGTTTTTTCTACCGAGAGGTTAGATAGGTCAATCGTGGACATACATTGTGTTAGGAAAAGGTCTTTATAGTAGTCCACAGCAATGTTCAGTTTCTCATGTTCTGCAGTGCACCAAGACCCTTGTGCATTTTCCAGTCCCCATATTGTATTGGCTTGACGTTTGGCTGCAGTGACTATATGAAAATACCCGGTGTTTTTATCCCCACCTTATAACCAATTAGTTCGAGATTTTTGCCTCGAAAAAATTTCTTCCCGATTATATTGAACACTCAATTCTTTTTCCAAGGATTTGACTAGGGTCCAGTTCACCGGATAATTAGATCTAGTCACTTCTAGTGCACGACTTAGATCATTTATTAACCTCGCTGAGTTAGACATTCCTCCTTTAGACCAACCAACCAACGCATGCCTAGTCCGTAGAAGCTTACTAAATAGCCAGTATTGAATTGAGCCTGCTACATCTAGATTCCAAGCATAAGTGATAATTAGCTCGGCTTCCGGCATCTGAATCCACATGATATCGAATCAAAATAGTCTTTTTGCTCTATGCATTGTAGGATTTGTTTGTAAGAAAAGCAACCTATGGTCCGATCCTACGTCTGTGAGGTGATATATAGTCGTCGAAGGCCAAATGCTCATCCATGCTGTAGAGACGAAGGCTCTATCTATTTTTTGCTCAATCGTGACTCCATTCCTTCCCCGGTTTGTCCAGGTAAATTTGGGACCTTGGGAATTTGGTTCAAATAGCCCTAACAGATTAACAAAGTCCCACAGTGGGCGTGCTTTATCCATTCGCCATGGGGATCCTCCTGCCTTATCAAGAGGATATAAGGAGCTATTGAAATCTCCAATAACTAGGTATGGATCCGATAGGCGAGCACAAAAATTAGCAATTTCCTCTAGTTGAGTTCGACGCTTGGTCACTATATAGGATAGATAAACCCCTATGAGGACAAATCGAGGACATTCTCCATAGCAAAGGTTATTATTGTTATTGATTACTGAAATGGCAATATAGCAAGGGGATGAGCCTAGAATCGAAACTGAGGTTGATGGTGGCCAAGCAAAGACTAAGCCTCCCGACATGCCAGAAGGGTCAACTGGATGACAATCTGAAAAGCCTAACGAACAGACAAAAGACCTGACTTTATCACTAGGTGACATAGTTTCACACAAAAACAAGAATGAATTGGCAATATTGCGGCATGCTTTGAGCGTCTTGGAAGTCAAGGTGCTGCATATTCCTTGACAGTTCCACGCGTAGACATTCATTTGTCGAGTTGGGGCCACTTTGGGTTGGCTTCCTCCACCCTTTCATCTTCTATCACTTTAGGACGTTTTGGGGCTGATTCCACTACGTATTCCTCCGACTCTCGAATACTGATGCCATTGTTTCTCCTTGTGTAGACATTTGGTGATCCTGGTGACTCTATCATAATAGCTTTCCCCTTAGACTCTCCTTCTATGACGCGGCCAATTGGGGAACATGATTGTGCTGAGTCGGTGGAAGCTTCCTTGTTGCCTGTTTTATTTAGTTCAAGCTCAAAATCTTGCATGACAAGAAGGTGAGAGTCCCCCATATTTTCAAATAAAAAACTAGGATCCTCACTGCAAAATAGATTACCTAGATCGTATGATGGAGAGGCAGCTTGGAACTGCAAAGGTCGAACATCATTTGCCTCATGACACATTACCATAATCTTTTCTTTGATGGGCTCTTGGATTTGTGCGGTTTGGTGCTTGCTGGGCCCTTCACCCAGGTTCCCTGATTGCAGATTCAGCCCATTAAGGCTCGGCCCATTGACAACAAAATCTGGCCTGGTGGGAGAGGTGTTTTGATCCCTCGGATTAGGGCTGGGATCGCAAGCCTCGAGAGACTTTTCCCCCTGAGACTTCGCCGCCGACTGTGAAAATAGGTTTTCCGGGGCTCATTCCTCGGCGACTGGAAGGTTGTCGACGATTTGGTCCTTCAAGGAGGAGAGGTTTTGGAAGCGGCGGAGCAGCAGGTCCAACACCATTCCTCCATACATTGCTCGTCCAGTTCTTCCTCTCCATTTTCGCCGATGTTTATGAATTTTCATTCAACCTTGATCCTGTTCGCTTTCCAAAGATTTCAGGGCCGAAGCCGTCATCTCCAGTGACCAGGTCGAAGGAGCAGCTCTCCTGGTTAGGGGTGGGAAACGGTGCGGTCCAGACCAGACCATAGATACGGTCTGTGGTCCAGACCGAGAGGTTGGAAGACAGACCATGGACCAGACCATATACTATACGGTCCAGACCAGACCACACCTGTGCGGTGCGGTCCGGTATGGTCTAGACCAGACAGACCATGTTAAAAAAAATTAACTCTTGTTCGCCCTCCAACCCTTCGTCGGTATCTATAAAAAAAATCTAGTGACCAATATGCTAGTGAAACAAAAAAATTGTGATCGTATTAAATGAGAAGAAATATGAGGATAGAAGTGGGTTTTTTAATTTTCAAATAGCCTTATTTCCCTATTCCTCTTTGTGCTACCGCTTCTCTCCTCTCTCGAGTGATCCGAAGGTTCTCACTTCTCCCAGTTGTTAACCTTTTTGATGACGTCGAGGTAATTTTGAACCACTAAGATGGTCACATATCTCTCAATAATTTTCCTTATCTCATCAAGGTGAACGAATTTTTTTGTAGTGTTTAATTTTTATCGACTCCATAGTCTAGACATTATCTGTGAATATTATTTATGAGTCTTTCTAATTTTTGTGTGGTACTTTGATAAGGAGATAACATATAATCGATCATTTTGCAATTTGTTGGCTCTCAACTAGATTAAGAATCAATTAACTTTGTTCTTCAAATACACATATGGAGGTTCAATTTAGTGTTATTTTTGTCCAATGTAGTAGGTAGTGTATCGCGGTCTGTTACGATTTACTGCGGTAGACCGCGGTCCAGACCACGCACTAAAGGAGGAGACCGCAAACCAGACCAGATCATAGTTCTGGTCTCACGGTCCAGACCAAACCATACGATACGGTCTAGACCGCGGTTCCCCATACGGTTTGGTCTGGATTCCCAGCCCTACTCCTGGTTATGGCCGATTTTTCTGCATCTGAAGCAGACCACCTTGAGGTTTTCGTACTTGAGCTTCACCCTGAAGGTCTCGCCTACCGAACCATCTGCAGCTCGTTTTCTTGCTTCTAATTTGTGTTCAAGGGGAGCAGAGACATCAATCAATATTTTGGCCTTGAACACACATCCTGGCGACTACCAGACTGCATACATCCCAGCTTCCTCCACTGTGCCCAGACGTGAAGCCAGCAACCTTCCCAGTGCGACTGTTATGTACTCCTCTGGGAGATTCCAGAACTGGACCAGGTATGGGACTCGGGCGAGATCATGATATAGACGCTCTGATGGCGTCTCCCATTCTTTGAAGGTGAAAATCTTGGAGTCGATAAACCACGGAGCCTTCTTCAGAGCTTCTTGCCGGTCGGTTTGACTTGAGAAGACGAGCTGGAATAGCTCATGCTTTGCGTCCCGTACAGTCACCGGAGCTCTTTTAGCCCAGAGGTTATTGGCCATATGCTGAACTCTGATTCGAGAGGGATGGTTGGAGCAGACCAATCGACCAACCAAGCTTAGACCAGCTCTGGTAAGTCCTGCCTCGAAACTTCATCATTGAATTCAATCGGGGCTGCCATTGTTGGTAGACTTTTCTTTGGGTAGAAATTTTTGCTAGAGAAGAGAAGAGGAGGGGATCTCATGAGTAACTTGGTCGATTGAGGATGGTGAATAGCTCTCTGTATCCGTTGGGTAAAAAAGGAAACTATTAGAAGGTTGAAGCACTTAATGATAGGCAGATTAGTGCCTGAACTTATGCTAGCAATGATTCTATAATTTATCCAATTTAATACATTTAGATGATGATTGATCATTAAGAGGGTGTTTGAATTGTCATTTATCTCTTGTTTGCCAAGGTTGAGGTGGAAGTTTCTGAATTGCTGGCTTAAGAGAAGCTCGTTCCCAAAAGGAATGTGTTCTTTAACGAGCAAATTAATTCCTTTTCCGGTGCAAGCTGATTTTCTGCTCACTAATTTGAGTTTGAATTGTAGTAGCCAGCCTTTAATGTGCCCTTTGATTGTGCTTTGGTATGAATTTCCCCTTACATTTCGCCTTTCATTATGAGTGATGCACAGATCACATATTGCTCTGTTTTTTGGAGCTCTAAATAGCTCTAACTCGTCATAAATTAGACGATTTGAAAGCCCAATTATGGCTTTTCAGGCGAAAGCCAATTTAGAGTTTGGGACTCTGTAACCGCTAAACGGTAAGTCTGCAATACTTCTGACCATTAATGCATTGATTATGATTTGCAGTTGGCGGTGGTCCTCGGAAAAGAAGGGTGAATTCCGGCGACCTGTCGGAGATGCAGCGGAGTTGTTTGACTTGCTGTACCATGATCGATGTCCGAGGGTAGAGTCTTCTTTCCACAGACGGAAGTTACCTTCTGGGATCATTTTTCATAGCCTGAGGGTAATGGAGTTGATTGTTACTCTGGGGATGAGCCAAGAGGGGACACGGGGAGTCTGGGGAAGATTACTTCAGAGAGATGAAGGAAGTAAAGCGTGAGATTTGGAAGGAACTGATTAAAACAATGGTGGTATTTAACAGAATAAAATCTAAAGTCAAAGGGAGAGGTGACCGGTGGTCCCGCTGGAGTTGAACGTTGGTTCCCGCTGGATTTGAGCGTTGACTCCCGCCACCTGAGTTCTTTTCACCGCTGCAACCAATTTATGGACTACTACATTCAAACTTCCCGCTGGTTTTTGTTCTGAAATTGCTTCCTTGTGTGACACTTACTGAACAATGCAGGTTAGCTTGAAAACATTTCCAATGCATATACAGGTTAGCAACGATGTGGAATGTGATGGCAGGTTAGCTAAAAACATCTCATGTCTCAGTGATACCAGTGGCTAGCCTGAGTTACCGCCTGGGCAAAAAGAGCTGCCACCGTGGCCGTCGAGAAGTACACGTGGTTGAATTGTCTTTCACCGCTTCAGCTTCAGCTGCCAGGTGGTACGGTGGTTGTCGATCTCCGGTTGGCGGCACAATTTTTGCTAATTAGGAGCACACTGGTTTCTACTATGTCTGGCCACAATGGAATGCTGCCTGTTGTGGCCGCACTCCCTTATGGATTGAAACTGCTACAAGAAAATACTATATGTGGTTTACCCGGTACCACTTAAGTTTCATGTTAGGTGCATTCCGTTAAAGTTATCAGAATATTCTTGGAATATTCTATTTTCTAAATTTCTTAATTGGTCATTCTACTTTTCTTATTGTAAAAATCATTTTTGACTTATGAAAAACATCAATTTTTATTATTTAGTTGGTATCCTCTTTTGAAGACTTGATACCAAATTAATTTTTGAATAGAAAATTAGAATCAACTATCATTATAAGTAGTTTCAATTATCATTATGTTTTCTAATATTGAATTATTCTCTAAAGCAAATATATCCTATAATTCTGTTTACTTGGAATCCTCTTTTGAAGATTTTGTTACCAAACCAATTTTTGAATAGGAAATGTAGAATCAATTATCATTATAAGTATTTTCAATTACCATTATATGTTATAATAATTGAATAATTTGTTGAAGCAAATATATCTTGTGAATTTTATATCGATATAAATAATTTGAGGATATTATATTTAATTCTCGTACATTATGTTGATGTTGTATAATTTTCTATGTTAAATATCCTTGTAATTTTCTGATATTTTATTTTAGATCTTCCATATTAATTAAAATTACTAATTCTAATTCTCTTCCTATAGTCGTATTTTCTTTTCTAGATTTGTTACGAAATGTTGTAGATTTTATTTATTTATTACTTGGTTACTTACGTTCTCTTTTCGTTATAAATTGTATGGGTCTCTTTTAGATACAATAGGCTTCCCTTGTTTAGTATCTGTCTTGCAGCGACCAACGAGGTGTTTTTTCTTCAATTACTGGAATATGTTTAATTCTTTCTGACTGTGTTTCATTTATCCTTCTTTGGTCTTGATATGTTAATGATCGATGAGGTTCTATTTTAACTATTTTTAATAGTACTTCTAATTGGATTAGCGATTTAAATAGATCTTCTAATATTGATTTTAAATATTTATTATTATATTCTATATATTTATTCTTCTTCTTGATATTTGTTTATTATTTTTACTAATTTATCTATTTTATTGACAATTTTGATTAGTCATTTTAGAAATATTATGTTTAGAAGGTTTTTAATTTCGATATTAGATAAAAACTTGTTAAAATATAGTTTTGGATGTTTTTAAAATTATTAGGTACCAAAAAGTAATTAAAATTTTGGGTTTGGTGGAAAACTAGATGGATGCACATTTTGAGGAATGCTGTATTCAAACTAAAATAGTATATCTGCTCCAATTCTCAAACTTAAATGGTACCAATGGAAACTTGGGCCGATAATCTATCATATGATCTCGCCTGAAACTCGTGTGCCGCAGCAGCGATCGCCGCCGCCATTCCTCGGAAAGCGTCAGCGAGTTATGGGAAACCTAAATCGTTCTCTTGCTCTATCTGCGTTTCTGCTTCTACTTCTCGTTTCGCCGACTCAACCCGAAGTTATTACCCTAACCCCTGAGACCTTCTCCGACAAGGTACATCCACCGTCTTCCCCTAATTGAAAGACAATTTCATTTTACGATTTGCATCCTTCTACGAACTAGGGTTCAGGGTTCTTCTTCTTTCATCAGATTGACTGAACTAGATATCTTTGGCATCTGTTAATCCCTAAAGGCGAGAACTTTTGCGTCTTTCTGCGAGATGAGTTTCACTTAATCATAAGCTTGCCCGTTTATTGCTGCAACTAGGGTTTTGATTGCTGACATATAACTGTTTCTGGATAGGATTTTTAAATGAGGAAGTAAAAAGCCTGGTCTGTGTTTGGCGTTAGTACTGCCTGTTTTGGCTTGGAATACGTTTTAACAAGTTATCTCTAGTTTCCTTATCGTCCGGAATCATTTTGCTTTAGTACAAAAAAGGCTTGAAGCTTGGATCAAAAGCCAGATAAGCGAAGTTCAGTGCAGTTCTCTTTGATATCAGAAGTCTTAAATGCATCTACTAGTTTATTTTTAATTTTTTATCTAACATGCATCTACTAGTTTTGATATTGAGAAATGAAACACTATGTTCGTTTAGTTTATTATGGGACAGTAGTCTTTGTTGCTGCAAAGCAAAGAAGTAACTTTGGACTTGAACGATGACCGTACAGGTTAGTGACTGTTCAATTTTTTTTTTTTTTTTTTTTTTTTTTGTGTCTCTCAGGTGAAGGAGAAAGATACTGCGTGGTTTGTCAAGTTTTGTGTTCCTTGGTGCAAACATTGGTAAGTAGATGAGTAATAGCATTCACCAGTCTAGGTCAAGTCCTTGATGTGTTTACATAAACAAATCCTGTTGTGGGTTCAGCAAGAATCTGGGCACACTATGGGAAGACTTAGGGAAGGCAATGGAAGGCCAAGATGAGATAGAGGTTGGCGAAGTTGATTGTGGAGCAAGCAAATCAGTGTGCTCGAAAGTGGACATCCACTCATACCCAACATTTAAGGTTTTCTATGAAGGAGAAGAAGTTGCCAAATACCAAGGTATAACTAAAATCTGAAGCAATTTGATGAAAATTGTGTGGCAGATCATTATTTTCTGCATTGGAGGGTTATAATTTGTAAGTTGGAGTTCCCTACTAACATTTTGTTGGCCTGTGCAAAATTTCTGCTTTCCTTATTCATTTGGAGCATGTCATAGAGCAGCTTTTCCTATATTTGTGTGGCATGATTCAGCTATTCATCAGGCAGATTAAAGAAATATGTGATATATATTGTTCATTCCAGATTTCGTACATCCATTATGTTCAACATATAGAGCAGCTTTGTTTTAAGTGCTCATTGGTAGAGCTCTGTTTTTTTTCTAGGGGAGCTTATTGGTAGAAGTCTTATATGAATGCGATGGATGGACATGTAAAGTGTAGATATACGACATTGGCTGGGTAAATGGCTGTATGCACTATGCAGAAATATCATAGGGTGGTAACAATAGTCAAAATTGATCAGTATAGCTTTAGTAAGAAGATATTATAGGATATCCTAGGCTATTATAGGGCAAGGGAATGGATTTTCTATTGGTAGTGCAGAATCTCCATAGGACTGTCTCATGCTGTGTTCGAGCCTACTTCAACATAGATAAATGAAGTATGTGGGGAAAACCGGTCTCTGTTTGAAGTTAAGCAGTCAACTTATATGAATTGTCCTTGTAGAGCTTTCTGCAATGATTCATAAGGGAGGGGGCTGGTTTGGATAAGTGTTGGCATCCATTTCAAAACAATGGGAAATCTCTGACTTGTGCTGTGTAAAAAGGGAAAGACATGTCTTGGAGCATTAACCTATTGCTGCAAATTGTTTTTGCCCTCCACTCGTGAAGATTTTGCTCGGTATTGTGTCTGTGCTGTCGCACTCCAGCTAGGACATATGTTTACAAGTTTATAATCCAATCAAACCATTACAAATACTTGAACATTCGAGCGTAAGGATATAGACAGTCATTGTGTAGGACTGTTTCCTGTGTTGACTTTGTACTTTGAATAAAATGCAGGGAAAAGGGATGTAGATTCGCTCAAAGCGTTTGTTTTGGAAGAAGCAGAGAAGGCTGAGAAGGCTGCAGCGGAAAAAGAGAATGACAGTGACATTGACAAAGAGTTGTAATTTTTTCCGGAAGAGTGTGGTAGAGGCCTATTACTCACCAGTCGCGCCACCCATTGGACAGGGTGGTCCAGTGTAACTTCTTGCACTACCAGAAATGATAGAACTGATAGGAGTTTTTTGGCCGAAATCTCAGAGCAGGGTTGAAACTTGAAACACAAGGAGAGCAAAATCTTTCAGCTTTGCATCATATTGGATCCTAAGTATCTCCCTGTTAGCCATTCTACATTCGTTCGAATGGTACATCCAGTTTTCCAGGGGAGAAGTCAATCAGTACTATCTACTACTCGATCATACACAACCCTGCTCTTGAACTCTGAATCCTTCTAACAGTGGCTATTGCAATCATATCGTCAGCAGACAAGCAAAGCTCATACTAGATGGTGGCAAATCACTGCTGTGCTTTTTCAGAGTACAATGCAGATTGGAAGGGTCACTGGGTCAGTTCGGTCGATTTCCTTAAGTTAAAGAAAGCACATTGCCAGTTAGGCAGTTACGATGTATGAGTATGACAATGCAACCAAAGTAACTGCTGTAAAGTTCGTACTGATACGCACGGGAGATTTTCAAAACACGAAAATTTCTAGCCCGGATATGAACTATTCGTTGCAAAAAAAGGGCAAAACTGTTGAGCCACTCGCTCTCAGGGGCAGATCGAGAGAGCATCTCTGACAGGGAAATTGAAAAACATTACTAAACAAACAGCCACTCCATCCTACTACAGCCACACCATGTTCCCAGAATAAATTCTAACAAAGGGCACCCAGCAGAAACACCCAACGACAATGTCCACATTGACAAAAGTAAATAAAACCCTGCCTCACTTCTTCTTGGCGGCAGCCTTGGTGACCTTCGCACCAGTAGGATCCTTCTTCTCCACGGCCTTTATGACACCAACCGCAACAGTCTGCCTCATGTCCCTCACGGCAAATCTACCGAGAGGTGGGTACTCGGAGAAGGTCTCCACCACCATGGGCTTGGTCGGAATCATCTTCACGAACCCAGCATCACCATTCTTCAAGAACTTGGGCTCCTTCTCAATCTCCTTGCCAGATCGCCTGTCAATCTTGGTTGTGATCTCAGAGAACTTCACAGCAATATGGGAAGTGTGGCAGTCGAGCACTGGGGCATAACCGTTCCCAATCTGGCCAGGGTGGTTCATGATGATGACCTGGGAGGTGAAGTTAGCAGCCTCCTTTGCAGGGTCATCCTTGGAGTTCGAGGCAACGAACCCACGCTTGAGATCCTTGACAGCAACATTCTTCACGTTGAACCCAACATTGTCACCAGGGAGAGCCTCCTGGAGAGCTTCATGGTGCATCTCAACCGACTTCACCTCAGTTGTCAGTCCAGTGGGACCAAAGGTAACAACCATACCAGGCTTGATGACACCTGTTTCCACACGGCCCACTGGCACAGTTCCAATACCACCAATCTTGTACACATCCTGAAGTGGGAGACGGAGGGGCTTGTCCGAGGGCCTCTTGGGCTCATTGATGTTGTCAAGAGCATCGAGAAGGGTTGGGCCCTTGTACCAGTCCAGGTTGGTTGACCTCTCAATCATGTTGTCTCCCTCAAACCCAGAGATGGGAACGAACGGGACCTTGTCTGGGTTGTACCCAACCTTCTTCAAGTAGGATGAAACTTCCTTCACAATTTCATCATACCTAGCCTTCGAGTACTTGGGGGTGGTGGCATCCATCTGCAGTAAACATCAATACAAAATTTAGTACGATATCCAAGTAGCATCAAGATTCAAGAATAGATAGTTAACAAGAGCAGCAAGAAGAGACTCGCTGACCTTGTTGCAGCAGCAGATCATCTGCTTGACACCAAGGGTGAAAGCAAGGAGAGCATGCTCACGGGTCTGTCCATCCTTGGAAATACCAGCCTCAAAACCACCAGTGGTAGAGTCAATGATGAGGACAGCACAATCAGCCTGGGAGGTACCAGTAATCATGTTCTTGATGAAATCACGATGCCCAGGGGCATCAATGACTGTGCAGTAGTACTTGGTTGTCTCGAACTTCCACAGGGCAATATCAATGGTGATACCACGCTCACGCTCGGCCTTCAGCTTGTCAAGCACCCAGGCATACTTGAATGATCTCTTGTTCATCTCAGCTGCTTCCTTCTCGAACCTCTCGATCACACGCTTGTCAATACCTCCAAGCTTGTAGATCAAGTGGCCGGTGGTGGTTGACTTCCCAGAGTCGACATGGCCAATGACCACAATGTTGATGTGAACCTTTTCTTTACCCATTCTGAACTTAAGTACAACTGCAGGAAGAATGCAACTTAACATCAGCACAAAATTACGAGCACTATGATTCTCACGAATAAAACGATAGAATCCAACGCAACAAGGCACCACGTCAATATGAAAACACAAACACCACCATATCTGAAGACGTAAACAAGTCAATTGACAAGTTTATGATCCATACATAGGTCGAATTGTGATTATCAGCAAGCCTTGGTTTAATTCAGGAAATATATTCACGCAGGCAGATGGACATAACTAAACCAAACAACGGACTACAAGAACGAGACAGTGGTAGGAAGCGATAGCGCAAAGACTCCGATTAAGGGACGATCTAAATCACAAACAAGCTTCGCTAAGCACGCAAGCAAGGGAACATATAGTGCCATAATTGCTCATGCATAGAGAACAAAGGTGTGGAGTAGATCGTAAGAACATGGGAACGAAGGGTAAAGGGAGATCGGATACTTACCGCAGATGAAGAAGTTATCCTTCTCTAGCCGGCGTTGACAAGAGGGCGATTGTTGACACGAATTCCCGAGACGATGAGCAGCTGAATTTGTGTGGCGACGGAGGGGACAGACACGGATGAGAGAAACGCGCGGCTTTTAAAGAGTGGCAGATGGTAGCCGGGGCCAACGGAGTTAGGGTTTATTGCTAGCCGTTGGATTCTTGGGAGATCGAAGGGATCCGATGTCGTCTATTTGACCGTCGGGTACGGGGATTGGCAGATGGTGCCGGTCCGTTCCGTAAGCTGGGGTCAGCCTTTAACCGGCTAGGGACCGAATGTGGTGTCTAGTGATGGCAGTCATGGCCCGCCCCGGCGGGTATTCCCCGACCCGACCCGTACCGGGGCGGGTTAAACCCGAGCCGTGGCAGAACAGGGCGGGTAGCGACCCGACCCGTGAACAGAACGGAACAGGTATGGGTATCATGCCTCACCCGCCCCGTCCCGACCCGCCCCGACCTCTGCGTATCCCTGCCGTAAGGTTCCAATTCCTACCTTATTAATCGATTTCAATCCCTCCGGCCTCCTTCCATTTAACTCCACTCCTTCCATCGATAAATTTGCCATCCATCAATGATAGGGATCCTCGTATCCCTGCAATTTCGATGATTTCCAATCCCAAATCTGGGATTCCCTCAACTTTCGAGAATAAGATGGGAGGAACAATTGGGTTTTGGCATTATGGCCTAGGGTTATACTTCCTATTTAATATCCCCCTCACAACCACCGAAAGCTTCATCTTCCTCACCGTCCAAATTCTTTGCCACCATCGGAGATTCGGAGTTGATTCCTCAATCGTCTCACCTCTGCTATCCAATTCAAGGGTGTTGTGCCAGTGCCATCTATTCTCTGTCTTTGAAGGTATCTATCTTTGAAAGTATGTTTCATACTCTATTTGTTCGATTCTTAATCACCATGCTGAGTGCATAGAGGGTGTTCTTGTTGTCGGCTGCCGATGCTTGTTTATTATATGGATAATGGATTCTTAATCAATAGCGACTGCTGAATTCTAACAGAACAGAGGGTTGACTGCTATTTATGCTTGTGTTTTATTCGGATTCATGATTAGATGCTGCTATTTCTTATTCTAATGTGATTACACTAAATTTAAAGGAAGCAACGTCAAGCCTATAGAGTCCACTGTTGGCTGCTGCTATGCTTTTGATATTTATAGTTTAATTCCTTAGAATCTGAACTCATGCTGAAAATAATGAACAAGAACAAGGGTAAAGAAACAAAAGAACGAGGGTCTTCTTGTTGACTGCAGTCTGCAGCTTATGCTTGTGTATTTAGGATTTATTTTTGGTTGCCGCTATGCTTGTTTAGAAATGAGAAACGAGAGTAATTAGGTATAGTGGATGGATTCATTGTTGGATGTCGCTATTCATGTTGGTAATTATTGGGTTTTTTGCTGATCGTACAGGACATGGCCGAGGGATCACAACCTGGTGGAACCATTGCAAATATGGATTCAACTCAGGCTGAAGTTGTACCTGCTGTTATACCTGTTGCTGCTGAAGTTGAAAATGTCCCCGTTCCCCCTCAAAATGCAAATACTGGTGAGAAGCGCAAGGGCGGGACGGCTGGAAAAGTGTTCTCTAAGTGGTGGGAACACTACAACAAATTAACTGTTGGCGACCAGCTCAAAGCCGAGTGCAAATACTGCAAGAAGAAGCTTCTTGGAGACCCGAAGCAAGGAACAAATCATCTGAAAAATCATCATGAAAGGTGTCCTAAAGTGCCTCGGCCTGCCGATATTCGACAACAAGTTCTGCAAGGCAATCTGACCAAGGAAAAGTTTCAGCTGACGCCTTTTAATTTCAATCAAGAGGCTTCTCGAAAAGAGCTGGCTAAAGCTATAATCAAGCATGAATACCCTCTGACGATAGTAGATCATGAAGGTTTCAGGAGCTTTTGCACTAGTCTTAACCCATGTTTCAAGATGGTGACCAGAAACACAATCAAGAAAGATTGTTTTGTCATATATGATCTTGAGAAGCAAGCTATAATGAAGCTGCTGGAGAGGAATGAAGGTCGTGTTGCAATAACTACAGACATGTGGACATCTTCACAGAAGAAGGGATTCATGGCAATCACAGCACATTATGTCAACAACAACTGGAGTTTGGAAAGTCGAATTATCAGGTATATTCTCGGTCTATGTTATGGAGTAAATCCTTTCACATTGAGTTAACCTGCAATTTTTCTGGGCTGTTTACCTAAGAATTCCACGTTGCTATGGTTGTTCATGAATAGTTTCAGATGCTTACTTTGAGTTAATTAGATGATTCATATGGTGCTACTGATGCTAATTAAATGTTAATATGCATGGAGTAAAAATCCCCTGTTTACTTTGAGTTAATTAGATGATTCATATGAATAAATACTGATAGCCACCGATGCTTGTTAACATATGCTTCTTCCTTGCCTTTTATTTCACTTTCTTCCTTGCTTTTTATTTCAGTGTTAACATATGCTTCTTCCTAACCTGGTCTCGTTGCCTCCAACAATCTGTTGTTCTCTTTTTGTTTCTTCTTAGTTTTATAAATTGGTCTCTATAAATGTAATATGTTTGTGAGCTCATTGTCTATTTCCAGGTTCATTTATGTCCCCTCCCCCCACACGAGTGAAGTTCTTTGTGATGTTTTGCTGCAATGCTTACTGGATTGGAATCTCGACTATAAGTTATCAGCAATTACTGCGATAACTGCTCTACAAATGATGCGATGATCACTAGTTTGGTAGAGAAGCTTCCCATGGATTCTATGTTAAGCAACGGAAGCATGATTCATATGTGCTGCTGCGCGCATATTCTGAACCTTATTGTGAAGGAAGGTATGAAAGTGATTGGTGAAGGCATACAGAAGATAAGAGATAGCGTTCAGTTTTGGATGGGGACACCAAAGAGATGGGAAAAATTTGAGGAGACAGCTCGCCAACTTCGTAATCAAACCGGTAAGAAGCTCCTCCTTGATTGTGAAACCCGGTGGAATTCAACTTTTTTGATGTTGAACACGGCCTTGGAGTATAAGGATGTGTTTAATCGCTTAAAGCATCGTGAACCAAAGTACAAGTGCTTGCCTAGTGAACTAGATTGGAGTTTGACCAAAGAAATCTGTACTAGGCTAGAGATGTTCTACAAAGCCACTAATCTCTTTTCTGGTACCAAGTATCCCACTGCAAATTTGTGCTTTCCTGTGGTTTGTGAGATCAAAGTTGCTTTAGATCAATGGCGTGTTTGTGGGATAGAGAGGATTGAGAATATGGCTGCTGATATGCTAGTGAAGTATGAGAAATATTGGTCAGATGTTCATGTTTTGATGGCGGTGGCAGCTATTCTGGATCCTCGCTACAAGTTTGATGTGTTGGACTGTTATTTTCCTGAGATTTATGGTCAGAATAGTGACCTCGAGGTGGAGAGGATACTTGGTTTATGTCGTAAGTTTGTGGAAGAGTATGAAGAGGAGGAAAGGGAGAAAGAACAATAGAATGATGGTGGTCAGGTGAGCTGCCCACAAACAGGGGCAAGTGTTGGGGGGTCATTAACCAGCAAATTCGACTTATATGCTTCCCGGAAGAAAAGAAAACCTGTGAGGTCAGAGCTGGATATTTATTTGGAAGATGATATCAAACCAAAGAATGCATTAGGCAGCAACTGATAGTTACAGTAACGAAAGAATGCCAACAGTTAGGTAGCAGTAGCTTGGTTTGTTCATTGTGGACTATGGTTTCTTCATCGATCATTATGTGGATTGTTTTTTGTGAATTGCAAGTTTGACAGCAACTTAACATTACTAATACCTCATTAACTCGCCATTATTCATGTTTTATGCATACAAAGGCGCAGGTTAATGGTACTAAAAGTTAGGGGAGAGGAGATGTTGCTGTTCTAGAGACTTGAGGAAGGTTGAGGAACGCTTGCTGCCTGCTGTTGCTGCTTGCTGTATTTAGTTTGGAGTTTCCAGACTCTTCAGTTGAAAGCTTTTATTATGTTATTTTGGATTCTTATGGTTTATGCAAACTCTTTTTGGATTCGGATTTTAGTTCTTAGAGGAGGTCTGAGAGTTTATTTTGGATGATTGGGAATTGGATATGTTGGGAAGTTTGTTTTTTTGTTATTGGAATGTTGGAACCAGAATTCATTTTGTGAGTTATGGATGATATTTGAGCACGTGGAGTTTCTTTATTTATGTTTTATAGGATTACATATATGCAACTATAGCCTATATGATGAATGATGTTGAAAAGTTATAGGTGAGAACTGAAGATGGGGCAGGGCGGGTTTTACCCGCCCCGTGCGGGGCGCTGCCTGGGTCAGAAAGTGACGACCCGTTGCGGGGCGCGGGGTAGGTCGGGGCAATGGACAGAATGGCAGGTCAGGTCACGGGTTTAGGGGTACCCGCCCCAACCTTGACCCGTTGCCATCACTAGTGGTGTCATAGTAGCTATGGTGTGCATGGGTCGGTTGGGTAGGTCATCAGCATTTTTAACAACCCAATTAATAAGTATCGGGTTTGATATTGATGTCAAGGTAGAGAAGTGAATCGACTACTCAATTATAGTAGTCGATTCATTTCTTTTATTTCAGGATGCTCTATCAATATATGCAAAGACTGTCATTTTAGGTCAAAGCATGAATCACAAAAATTTAATTAGGATTCAAATAATTCTGAATCATTGCCTCAATTGGATTAAAGATAATCAATCAATCATGACAAATGGTTCATACAACTCTTCTTGAAAGAAATTTGCTTCGGGTTCTCAACGTGATCCCTCGAGACTTGAATCGAGCTCCAATAATGAGGAGACTTGATCTAGGGCACTCAACGTTCGCTCTTCGTCACTTTCTCTGTCTAAAACTATGTTTTTTCAGCTCCAAAATCGAATGCCCGTCCAATTTCCCGTGTTCTGCTTGTAATAGCCCGAGTTGGGCATCCCCGGTCTAATTCCCCGGTCGGGTAATTAGAGGCCAGACTAGGGATTTAACCAAAATGGAGCATCGCCACTTAGTCTCGAAGACGATTTTCCTAGTCTCAAATTAGAATCCCCAATCGGGGATTAGAGGCTCTCCATAGGGGGTTGTTCTAATCGACTTCAACGACCTATGATGCATATCCCCCGTCGGGGGTGAGTTGATCTGACCGTGGATTTTGATCCTCGAGCTCCACTTATCATCCACTCGCCGATTTTGACCTGAAACTCGCTCCCAAGCTTTCCTTTCCGATCTAGGTCCAAAAATACGACATAGAAGCATAACCTAGCGTGAAATCGACTTAAAATGCGAGGATCGACCCTCAAATAGTCTAAGAATAGTGATGAAAACATGTGCAAATATCGAGTTATCAAATCCCCCCACACTTAACTATTTGCTTGTCCCTAAGCAAACCTGACTTAAGCCAACGCAAATCTCAAACCTTCATAGCAACGTGCATCCACCATCATCGGCAGTGGATTTCCTAGATCATTTAGCAGCTTACAAGGTCAACCATTTTTCTAAGGTATCCCCTATTACTATCGATGCGAGTACAAGCTCAAGCCATGATCATGCCAAGTTTTGGACCTAGGACAAACAATTCATGGATGATCTCTATCCTCCGGGATGTAGATCACCTTGTACACCTGTCATGGGTTAACCTCCAGGGTGTACTCGCTCTCAGCCATCGTCATGATGCTGATGTCGAGGCCTATAGCATGTGCCAAGGTGTTGTATCCTACGGTGTGGTGCACTCCTCCAAGCATGAACTCCACGAAGGGTCGGTTGCGTCACCACTTTGACACCTCATGGATGAATGTGGCATAGAACTCCACACAGAGTTCGTGGTATATGAGCTCATTGATGGTGAGGAGGTTGCGCCACAGAGGATGGGCTATTGCTCCGGAGATCATGGATTGCCACCTGAACATGTTAAACATGTCAAAGTCCAAGCTCTAGTGGGGTTAGATATCGATGTAACGCCAAGTCTCGAACCTGTCTCCGTACTTCGGGTGATTCACCAGATAGTGAATGTATGGGTGGTTAGGGTAAACCATCATGCAAAAGCATCAAAAGACACACACCATACATGGAAACATTCATTAGACAAAGCACAATGGGGAGAAAGCTAACTCCCCACACTTAAGATTCCACATTGGCAAGATGCCCTCATAGGCCATTCACAAGCTTGGTTTATAAACAATTAGGTTCAAACACCCACAGGGTACACTGAGGCATGAAACTAGGTGTTTCATAAATCATCAATGATGCAATTACAATCCTAGATCATGCCTTGATGACCACCATTCAACATGCGCAAAATTGTATAAAGGATAGACAATTAAGCAAACACTTGGTGGGCATTACTCAATTCAATTACCAAAACATGCCAAATAAAGCCAACAAAGTCAAAAGAATCCAATCTAATATTCTAGCAACATGCCATTTATCATATTTCATCAACTCCCACGTTCAATTTCAATCATTCATGCAAAAACTCCAATTCTCCTCACCTAAAAACCCTAATTCGAATTCTTCAAAATTGAACAAGTAAAAGATGAAAAACACATGGAGACTCATCTAGGATTAGTGAGGAAGCTGAGGAGAATGAAAAGGAGTAAAAAATTGACCGAAAATCTCCACCAAAAGCTCGGCGAAGGTGCGCCTTGGCTTAGGGAGTGTGAGTATGTGTTTGGTCTTGGGATTGGGATTGGACGGCCTGGAAGTGGATCAAATTGCCGAAAAACCATCGGAGGCGATGTTTTTCGGCGATAGATTCAGAGGATTCTAGCAAAAATGTATTGTGAAGAAAAGGGTTCACGATCGGTTTATATAGCCCGAGATCAAGGATCACGCGCGGGAGTCTATCACGACCGACTGACCGTGATAATAACTCTGCGGGCATGATCTCGACAAAAAACGGTGAGTTTTGGGCCGACATCACGATTGGTCTGACATCACGTGCACTTGCCCGTGATAATTTCCCTTCGTGATGTCTGCAAATCGTAAAAAATGCTAGTCAACATCACGCTCTGCTTAACATTATCATGGTATGACGATCGTGATAATATCACTAAAATCGTGATAATCATAGAACAGGCAAATCCACAACTCTCAAGACTCAATAGATTCAATCGTGCCTCTAACTCAATCACGAATCATTCAAGCATTCAAACACATAAATCGTGGCACGATGATCATTCAAAACTCACCCATTTGACTCAAACACTCAAACAAAAAGAGAAAAATTAGGAAAATAAATACGAACCGACGTTGGGTTGCCTCTCAACAAGCGGTTATTTTATGTCCTTAGCTTGACCGTTCAGACCATCATGCTAGCGAGCATGAAGCCTCCTAGAGTGGACCCGATGCACCTTCGGGACGAGGCTCATCACCTCCAGTCTCCAACTCAGAATGGTGGCTCTTTTGGCCACTTGGCTTTGCCTTTGCCTTGCCCTTCTCCTTCTTTCGAGTCAAAACACGGTTCATTTTATCACGCCAATCATTCTTTTTCTTCCCTTTAGGCTTAATACCCACCTTAGGACCTTCCTTCACATTGCCAAAAGCAAAAGGAGCATTAGTGGGGTTTGCCATGGAATGCTCACCTCCACTTACAAACACACCATTGGAATCCATCCCTTTAAATTATCATGGTTAACCTTAGGATCAATAGAAAAAGTGACTTGGTCCTCATTATCTCCCAAGATGAATGTGTACTCATTAACATCGATTAGAGCCTTGGCGGTGGCAAGGAAGGGGCATCCTACGATAAGGGGCATATCCGCATTTTTGCTAATATCAAGGATAATGAAATTCATCGGATAATAAAAAGTGCCCACCCGTACTAGGACGTCCTCTATAATGCCTCTAGGATTAATCACAAAACGGTCACCCAAAGTAACACTCAACCTAGTGGGTTTTAATTCACCTAGGTTTGACTTCTTGTAAAACTTATATGGCATGGCATTGATGCTTGCTCCTAAATCCGCCAAGGATTTATCTATATGACATGTTCCAATGCAAAGGGGGATAGCACTACAGGAAAACATGTTTCTAGTCACAGGATCTTATTCACGAGAAATTTTTCCGTACTAATAAGTGCACTAATAGTCATAGGGAATGTTCCTGTAATTAGTTACACAATTCTAATCACGGGAATTAATTTACATGTTTTTTACTTTTCATTTCCCGTGATTAATTGTTAGTCATGTTTTTTTATCGCCCTTTTCAATAGACAATTCAAGAATCGGGACCTTTGGTTTTATCCAAAAATTCCCGCTTTAGGAATTTAGATGTCCCGCACTTGTTTCCCTCTCCCCAATCTTGAAACTTTGGATCTCCCGCGATCCCAAAATTTTGGCTCGAGAAAATGGCTCCACAATTCTAAAAGTTTAGCTTTTCCTCTATTTGTTTTTGCAAGATAAACACTCAAGTATAGGAAAAGAAAGCATAGTCGTTCCCCCTTCTTCCCCGATAACCCTCCCCTTCTGGCTTCTGGTACCCGCTCTGCCTTTC